ATCCTGGCACCCAGCGGGGCTGCGCGGGCGGGTGCTTCGCCCCCCGAACCCTCCCCCCCAGGGACCCTTCCCCGCACCGCTCAGCCTGGGCTGGAGGGGGGGCCTCCATCTGCTGGGGTAGGCTGAGCAGCTCCCTGCTGGGGGTCCCTTAGCCGGGGGCTGTGCCGCTGGCTGGGGATGGCCCCTCTGTCTTGCTGCTCCCCGGCTCGCAGGAAGCCTGGCATCACACGGCAGGGCCCTTGCACGGCACCCAGGACTTTACCTTGCGTGGCAAGGGCTTTGCACAACACCTTGCGTGGCACCTTGCACTGCACTTTGCACAGCAGGGCCCTTGCACGGCACCTTGCACAGCACCTAGCACCATACCTTGCACAGCAGAGCCTTTGTACAGCACCTAGGACTGTACCTTGCATGGCAGGGCCTTTGCACAGCACCTTGTGCGGCACCTTGCGTGGCAGGGCCTTTGCATGGCAAGGGCTTTGCACAGCACTTTGCATGGCACCTTGCACAGCAGAGCCTTTGCACGGTACCTAGGATTGTACCTTGCATGTAGGGCCTTTGTGCCGCACCTTGCACCGCACCTTGCACAGCACCTTGCACCACCCCTTGCACTTTGCACTGCCCCTTGCATTGCACCACCCCTTGCACTGCCCCTTGCACCGCCCCTTGCACAGCACCTTGCATTGCACCTGGCACAGCACCTTGCACCTTGCACAACACCTTGCACCTTGCACCGCACCTTGCATTGCACCTTGCACAGCACCTTGCACCGCACCTTGCATTGCACCTTGCACAGCACCTTGCACTGCACCTTGCACAGCACCTTGCACCGTACCTTGCACAGCACCTTGCACAGCACCTTGCATTGCACCTTGCACCGCCCCTTGCATTGCACTGCCCCTTGCACCTTGCACAGCACCTTGCACAGCACCTTTCAGAGCACCTTGCACTCGCCCCGCCCCTTGCCCCGCCCCTTGCCCCTTGCACCTTGCACAGCACCTTGCACAGCACCTTTCAGAGCACCTTGCACTGCACCTTGCACCTTGCACAGCACCTTGCATTGCTTCTTGCATTGCACCTTGCACCGCCCCTTGCATTGCACTGCCCCTTGCACAGCCCCTTGCATTGCACCTTGCACCTTGCACGGCCCCTTGCATCGCACCTTGCACCGCACCTCACCCAGCAGCAGAGCCATGCAGCCCCCGGGGCGTCCCGTTCCCCCCCCGTGCAGGGACCCCCCAAGGACGAGGCCCCCCCGGGGCAGAGGCTGCCAGGACCCCCTGGGGGGGAGGGGCCC